GTGTGCTTGTGCGTGTGAGTGTGCCCGTGCGTGTGCGTGAACAAGACAGAAGACAATCTAAATAACAACAGAAAAGTAAAATACAAAAGCAAAAACCAAAGCAAAAACAAAAGCAAACACAAAAGCAGAAGCAAAAGCAAAAGCAAACGCAACCAATCTAAAGCAAAGCAAAACCCAATTAAAAAACGCAAACAAAACAGTTTATATTTTTTTAAATCTCGCATCTCGCGTCAACTTAAGGCCCGATGCCCGAGTAACTCTGCACAAGTGTATCGCTCGTAATTAGGCAAATCAATTAAAATGGCCGCAGAGCTGAGTAACTTATAGTTAAAATGCACTTTGCAACAATTGCATGTAAACAGCGCGACAAGGAGCAACGAGAGGCGCGTTTGCTGGACTTTGAGATACGGCGCCAGCAAAAGCGCGAGGAGCAGAACCAGCAGCGGCAACAGCAGCAGCAGCTACACCAGCATCAGCAACAGCAGCTGCAGCAGCAACAACAGCAACAGCAGCAGCAACAGCAACAACAGCAGCAGCAGCAACAAGAGAAAAGTCCACCAACAACTTCGTCGCATTCACAGCAGCAGCAGCAACAACAACAGCTACAACAGCAACAACAACAACAGCAACAACAGCTACTGCAACAACAGCAACAGCAACGCCAACAATTGCAGCTGCAACAGGGCATTACCACACAGGTGAGCGCCAGCGGACGCGTTCATACGCCGGACACGCCCAAGTTGCAAACACCGCCGGATCGCTCGCTGCCGCCCGCCTTTCGCAGTCGCTCGATTGAGCGGGAAATTCAATACGAACGCAAACGCTACTCCATACAGGAATCCGCCGAATTCAAGGTTTTTGATTGTGTTCTTCCTATATACTATATATATTGTGCACTGCACCGTACCATCTGTCCGATATCTAGACACTATATATACGCTTAAATTCCATTTGTGTTTTTCTTCCTGTGGCTCGCTTCGCATAGGAGGCCGTTAGCACGACACCATCTCCGCAGACGCAAACGTTTACCGGTACGCCGCCGATAGCATACACGGCGGCATTGGCGGGACCGCCGGCAACAGCGGCAGCTGCAACAGCTGCTATAATACCCATCCTACCGCTCGGCGTTGCCACGCTGCGCGATGATTCTACGGAGTCCGAGCAATCCGTGACATGTGCCCAAACGCAATCGGATGCCTACCATCGCATCATGTGAGTAACTAAAGCAATTACGATTTTACATATAGTATATGTTTATAAGAAATCTCATAGTACGGAGCAGTGAACACTCTGAACTGCTGCTATCAAGAATTTTGCTTATTTATGTGAGTATATATAGACATTTCTAGTTCATTAATGATCTGAACATAGAGCAGGTTCATTTAACAGAATATTTTATTTGTCGTGCCAAAAATCACAAATCAAAATCTATAAATAGATTTTTTTTCTTTATATTGATATCAAGATAATCTAAACAGATATTGGAAATAGCTTTACCCCAGGTGTGCATTCGGTATGGAAATATATGAAAATACTAATTTTAAGCTTTTAGCTTTTGTAGTTTACGAGACCGAAGCGTTGCTCATAGGCTGAACTGCCTGTAGCCTACATAATACATAGATATTAGCCGCTCTAGACTTACTTGTTATGAAATCTGAACAGTCGAAGGCCAGCAAAAGCTTACTGAAAGCTTTATTTGCAAGCTTTAATGTGCTTTCAAGACATAACAACAATCTCTCCTTACTCGAAGCTTATTAAATGTTGTTCAACTATATAGATAATCTATATAATTACATTCGCATCTCCATATGTTCCCCAGTGGCAATAATTGAGCGAGCGTCGACTGGCAAGCTCTGTCACTCTGTCACTGTCACTGGGGAAGCTTTTGAATGCGCGCGTATGCATTTGGTGTGCAAGAGCTTTTTAGCGTTCAGCTTTCAGCGTGCGATTGCCATCCATTTACAACACTGAACATGTGTGAGCAGAAAGAAGAAGAAGAAGAAGCACCAACTAGCCGAGACATGCACCGCCAGTTGAATATTCAGGCTGGCATTCAAAACAATGCGGTTGGAATGATGGATATATTGAGCCAATAGCTTTTCGATTCCCTATACTTTGTTAGTTAAGACAAAGCGCGAACTATGAACAACATTTTCAATATGGAAAGTGTCGAATAATCCATCTAAAAAATCTCACTCCAGTTTGTCTTGGTTTGCTTTTATAGAAGTTGAAAATAATTGCCAAATTTATATTATTAGTTTTTTATTTTTTATTAATACTATGTTTAATAGGGTATTTCCAAGTCAATCAACGTGTGAATTTCAATATATTTACTGCTTTTTTTTTACACTATCTTCAACCTAGAATCGCACTGCAATTGTGCGAGTAAATGCGAATTAACGCTGAATTATTAATCCAATTCCCATAACAAAAACTTTTATCGCTTATGCGTTATTGATGTGCGAATTAAGCGCATTGTTCAACGCTTAAGCTGAGGCGACAGTGGCTAACAATTTCAGTTCTATCGCAGACATTTGACGTGCCAAAACGGGAGAGATTCAAATCGCTTCCCCATGTACAATTATATGGAGAGTAATTTAAATTAAATGCATTTAAGGACGATTAAAAAGTGAGTTTTTCGAAAAGGTAAGATAAGCTAAGGTCCACGTGTGCCACGTGTCGTATGAGTGATTCACATTGGAAATATTGCTCATACGCAGTGTGGGCAAAAGTGTTTAGTGAATATAGTGAGACTATGCTATGGAACAGGACTTAGACTTATAGTCAACTAAATATTAATACTTTTTGGTAATATTTTAAATTATATTTAAATTTTTACAAGTTTAACATAAAATTTCCTGTATAAAAGTATAAAAAAAAGAGTATAAAACTCATTCAAGAAAGTAAATGGAGCATATTACTTTTATGCAATGTCCATCTTGTTGTCCGTCCGGCAGTCCATCTGAATGCAATATTATAGAGCTATAAGCTGAAAATTGATCTACTAAGCTGCGTGTAATATCTCTCGTTTCAGTTATTCAGTGGGAAATATTACGCATTCGACATGTGTTTCAAATGTGTTGGGACTTTTAGCCAACGGATCGATATGCAGTTATAGCTTGGCACAAAACTGTGTTTATGATTTTCTGCGAATCATTTACCTGAAGACATATTGAAGGCATGTCATAATATAATATTCATGCGGCATGGGGAATAACAATGAATATTTCAAAGAGGGCCTGAGTTAATTGAAGGCAAAAAGGTTTCATAAGTGAATATAAGCGATTTATAACAAGTTTTCCCATATATTACGTGTTATACCGTAATTTCTTTCAATATCTCTTAGCTCTCACTCTGACCAAATGTAATATTCATGGTTTAATTATGCGAATGCTTCGTTTGGAGTGTGCGCTCATACACATTAGCCACACGACATATTATTTCATATTATATCGTATCACTCATACGCCATGTGGCAGACATGCGACACAGCTAAATATTGCACATACGACATGTGGCCGAGCGAGAGATTTATTTGGTCTAGTCTAGTAATTAATTGCTGTCGCTTCTGCAATTTCCCAACAATTGTCCGCTTGATTAATTTAATTAATTAAATAGTTAAATAAATTTGGCAGTTGGCAAAATGCCCCCCTTGGCCCCTCCTCCCCGCCTCCCTCATCCGTTGATTATGCAGAGTTTGCGGTTTGCAGTCAAGCACTCGGCCCGGCGCTGACTCTGCGCTCAAAATGTGATATTTATATGGTATCTATGTCAGGGTGGACTTTCGTGTGGCTACAAACGACACCAGGCAACAAGAGAACAGAAGTATATAGAAAAACAAACTGTAAACTAAGCTTACGCTCTGCATAAGCCAGGCGTAAAAAAAAAACACTCACACACAGAAAGTAAAACAAAAAAGAAAAACTGTGGCCACTTGCGACTCGACACAAATTGCGTATGAGCAAAGCATACAAATGCACATGGCATGTGCGCCTCCATTTATATACGTACATACATACATGTACACACACATGTGTGTGTGTGTGCGTGTAAGTGTCCATTACCATTTGCCTAGCACAAGGCACATTTTGGACAGAATGTAGTAACAAGAGCCGCGCTATGATTGCGAGGTGCTGCTTCTACTTCAGCCTGTGCCTCTGCCTCTGTTGCTGCCTCTGCCTCTGCTGCTGCTGTTGCTAGTAGCTCTGGGAATGGGCGGGCAGCTTCTGGGCCTTGATGGGCTGCACTGAGGCTTGTTGTTGGCTGGTGTACTCGAAAAGTGGAACACGTGTGTGCCGCTCAAATTCACCACAAAAACAGAGAGTCAAATAGCTACTGCTGCTGCTGCTGCTGCTTTTGCCGTTGGCTTCTGTTTGTAACACTCTCAATTGCAATTGCGCGTGCTATTAGTCTGCTCTTTTGCGCGTCCTCTCTCTCTCTCTCTCTCTCTCTTTCTCCTTCGCTCGTCTGCGCTCTCTCCCATGCTTGCTCTCTCTCTCTCTCTCACACACACTCTCGACGAAATGTTCTTGTGTTTTATTGTTTTTTTCATTTCTTTCATTCCACTTTTTCCTTTTTTTTTTATTTATTTTTTTTTTTGCGCTGCTGTTACAAATAACACGTGCATTTAGCGTTGTCGTCGTTTCGATGCCAATGCCGCTGCCTCTGTCGCTGCCATCGCCGTCGCACTCGTTGTCGTCGCCGTCGTCTTTACCGTTGCCCGAGATGCCCGTCGTCTTCTCAATTCGCCCGCTTCTGTTGTTTTCTGATATTTATTCGCCAAGATGCCTCCGCATTGCTGCGCTGCCCCGCTGCTAGGCTTGTTCGTGTGTGTTGTGACCATTGTGCCAGGTCGGTCGGTCGGTCGCTTGGTCGGTCGGTCGCCTGGTCGGTCGGTCCGCTTTCTGCCTTTTGCTTTATGCTTGCTGCCTCTGTCACTGCCAGCGTATTCGCCATTTTCGCTTTGCTGTTTTCGGCTAGCGGGCCAAAATATTTTGTCTTTCGCCTGTCGACTTCATTGCGGTGTTACGTGTTCCGCGTGTCAGACGCAACGAATGGCCACGGCGCGCGGCTAAAGCGGCATAAAAACAAATAAACCAAACAACAACAATAGCAATAATAGCAACAACAACAACAACAACACAAAGCAAAAACAAAATAAACAATTTAAAGAATTGAAAAAGCGAACGACAACAATAAAATATTTATTTTAAAATATTGAACATTTGTAGCATAGATATAGTGAATATAGCATAGCAAAAACTGAAACATATGTATGTTTGTATGTATGTATGCAACGTTTATCAACTGTAGTGCTTAAAAAACTGAAATATACATATTTAACTATATATGTACCTACATATGTATATATGTATAACATATATGCCAGCCAAAGAAACGCACATGCTTATGAGTATGTAACCAATTACACACACACACACATATATATACGCGTACACAGCACGCAACTAACTGTGAATTGCCCATTAAGTGCCACACTCGCCGAATATTGTTTATTTACATGCACAATGTATGTATGTATATAAACATATGTAGATATATGAATGCATACTATATAGCCATATATCTGCATGTACCGATTACATGTCAACTGCTATTTAGCCCCCCATCGAAATTTGTTTGTGTTTGTTTGCCTACGTAACATTGTTGCAATTTACTTTTGGCTGCCATCCAGCTGCTCTGTCTCTGTCTTTGGCGCTGGCCTCCTTTTCGGATGCTGCGAGCATCTTTGAGGAGTTGTGCTAGCTCTGGGGCATAAATACCTGGTGACACGTGCCGGCAGTCCATGTGCGCGAAGCAGCTGTTGTCTGGAAGCCAACTGGAGTTCGACTTTTAAATAAGTTTTTTTTTTTTTTTTTAATTTTTTTCAAAGTGCTTAAGTGTTTTCTTTTGTGTGCGTGTCTAAGCCAATTACGAAACAGTTTATAAAGAAAATATGCAGATATATGCATAAATATGCCCATATATGGTATATATATAAATTCATTGTGCGTTCTACTGATCTCCAGTGACGACTTCTTGGCCTTACGGGCAACACATGCGTGTGTCATTGAGCCTGTGCCGCATGTGGCAAGTGGCATGTGGCATGTTGTCGCAACATGCTCAACATTCAGTTAGTGCCAACCAGACGCGCAGCAGCTGCTGGGAATCCAATTCAGAGTACCAATACAACCAAGGTTTCACAGCTAGCTATCCTTAACTAGCTCTAAGCTGAAAAACAACAAAAATGAAAAGAAAAGAAAAGTGTTTTCCTTACTATTGTTATTTGGGCTCGCATGTTGTGTGCTGACTCCGCTCAGGGCCAGAGCTCTAGCTGTAGTTGTTGCCAATCAAATTGTGATTATTGTCTGATGCTTATTTGACTACACACACACACACACTAACACACTTACATACAGCCATGCAACATTGACATTGTGCCCCGGCTCTAGCCAACCTGATTCGTTGTTTGCTGTTTGCTGTCGTGTCATTTGATCTTTTTTGGTCAGAGGGTACATGACAGGCATTTGAATGCTTAGAATGTTGCATGCCACACGGAATATGCGTGTTGCGATCAATGGAGAAAACGAAATGCTTGAATTTCCTTATCGATTGTACTCGACTCGAGAGCAAACAGAGCAAATATACTATATATACGTACATAGTATATGACAGTCATATAGACTGATTAATTTCACAGTTGTTTCCATTTCATATTTCAACAACAACAAAAGCAACTGAAGTAGCTTTATGCATACGACAGGCCAATTTGCAGTCACAAAGGACACCTCGAATGCGGCATATCGACCGCAGAATGCGGTTCCATTCATTTGCACACACACACACACACACACACGGAGACACACTTACAAACATTCGTATTTGGGTATTTATTTTATTATTTATACACGTCAGCTACGTGCTGCGCCTAAGTTAAGCAAAGCAAAGCGCCTGGGCCTCAAAGCAGCCCCCAAGGCAAATCACGTCCCCATCTGCTCACTCTGACTCCTTGAAGTTAATTACGGCTGTGCGAGTGCGTAGCCAAATCATGTACACATCTACATATACACATACACACATACATTTCAACAATGTATTATATATTTATAGCAAACTAATGCAACTGGGGTATCAATTTCATTTGCAAAGCACTTTACAACACTGCACGTGTTAAGCCCACAACAACAACAATAATAAAAAAAAAACGAACTCAAAATAACGCGGCTTGTAAAGTGTCGCAATACAAACACATAAACTGTATCCATAAACAATGAGCGTGTGTATGTGTGTGTGTGTGTGTGTGTGGGTGTGTGGGTGTGTGAACTATTTTCAGCATCACAAGTCAAGGACTCGGTCGAGAGGGAGGCATTGCGGTATCTCAGCCGGTGCCATGCTGTCCGGAGTACCATGTCCGTGTCCGTCTCCGTGTCCATGTCCGTGGCAGCTGCAACGAAGTGCATAAACATAAAATTGCATTTATTCTTTTCTCTCATTTCCGCTCGTTTTCGTTTTTTTCTTCTTCTTCTCTCTCTCTCTCTCTCTCTCTCTCTCTCTCCTTCGCGGTGCTCTGTTGTTGTTGCTGCCGTTAGGCCGAAAAATCTATGCAGCTGCGGAGGATTTATATTAAGATCAAGGGCCGAGCTTTTATGTAATTGCGGACTGTGCGGTTGCAGTTGTCAGAAGCAGCCAGCCAACCAGCCAGCAGGAGTAGGCCCCAAACTCACGATTCATAAGCCAAATGTGTCAAAGCAAGGCTAAGGATGGCTCTATATAGTATAGATTGTATATGTATATATATATATATACATCAGTATATGTGTTGCTCACATGACTGCATACAAGCGCGCAGCTGAATCAGATAATCCCCAATGAGACAATTTAAGTGCTTAACAAAATCAATAAATGGACTGTTTTCTTTTTTGATGCACACACACACACATACATAGATGCTCACTCACTCACACACACACACACACACACACACACTGCCGCACATCTGTCACAAAATCTCCAACATTGGCAATTTACTATAGCATACATATGGGCGTCACGGCTGCTAAGCTACAAATAATTGTCTTTAATGCCGCATTATACAAGAGTAACCAAATCGACAGCTGAGATAAGATAAGCTCGCACTCTCAGCCAGCGCTAAAGCTAGCTAAAGTGCCAAACACTCATTATTATCAGATAAAGCGAAGCGTACAATTACACGCTGATGATTGAACGAGCTTCAGTGCCTCGGACATTAGCCTCATTAGAGTAACGGAACTTACACAAGTGAAGGAAACTAGTTTGCAAATATTATATATTATATAAATAACACATATATTATATGATATATATAACTATTTTTTGATTGCGCACTTTGTTTAGCGATTGCAAAAGCCGCTTCAAATATAAACAAAATAACAAAATTTAATTGATTTAATCATTTGACTCAAAGTTGAAATATTTTTATTAATAAATAAATAAACAGAAATGTAATGAATCAATTAAATAAAATAAAGTAAAATAATAGATAATATATTTTTTAATAGATTTTACTTTATTTTATTTATTACATTTCTCTTATTTACATTATTTATTTCATTTATTTTATTTTTTATTTTTTTTATTTACTTTATTTACTCTATTAATTTTGTGTATTTTACTTAATTTTATTTTTTACTTATTTACAAACTTTTTTCAATCGCCCTTTGACATCGATTTTGAACATTTTGGCCTTCGGCTTGGCCAAAAACAAAATGCAAAAGGCCAAATCTCGCCTCGCAGAATGAATATTTAAATATGTTTCGCAACCTTTGTATGGGAAACAAGGCACTACATGGATTTCATGCTGTAACGATTTCTTTTCCCACTGAGTTTTCAATTAGCGCATTGTTTTGCCCAACCTAAGCATGAATTTTTAAATATTTAACTGTCGTTTCACAAAGTTTGACTGTTTCTCAATCACTTACAATGCAGTTGATGCACTCTATTTACTCTATTTATACGCAATTTGCTTGTGTATTTTGTTATACAAGTGTATAACAGTGAGTGAAAAACTTGCATAAAAAAAGTATTGAAAAAATATCGCAAAGTATCAGCTGTGGCTTTAAAGTACTTAAGCTTAAAGCATATTAAAAAATAAAATATTTCTTTCTTATATCAATAAAACTAGCTTTATAGGATACAAAATGATTTGGTATCAATTTTTTAATTTAATTTCTATGGCTAACCACGGGCTTCCTCATTAGTTACGCTATACAAAAGATTAAATGAAATGACCAACATCATAGCTGCCAAATAACTGTTGACCGCTTCGCAATGTCGCTCGATGTTGTCTTTCACTCACACTCTGAGAAGGCACTCAGAGCATAACCGATTGCATCGGTTCGGTTGAGGGGCTCGTTCGCGATCGGCTCGTAACCGTTTCGCTTTGTTTTGTCTCGCTCTGGCTTAGCTAGAGTTAAATGAAGCAAACAGTCCTTTGTGTATGTATTGGTATGTATGCGAGACTGTGTCTGCGAAGCATATCAACTGCGTACGTGAATTGCATGTGTATGTAATTGTGAGACCCGTTTGAGTATTTGCCCACTTACTGAATCCCATTGAGCGAACGTCAATCGTGTCTCTCCCTTGACGATGTTCGTTAAAAGAGCATAACACGAATCGGTCAACACAAGGCGCTTAATAGAAAAGAAAAACAAACAGAACTGAAGTCTCCTTTTAAGAGCGAGAACGAGTGAGCATGATTTTGTTCGGTTGACCTAGCGAGCGGAGCATAAGGCATCAAACTGTTAACAGTTAGTTAGCTAAGCTGAAGACTTCTGTAGGCAATGGATTATTTTATGCAATCTCTAACTAATAAAATGATAAAAAATATATGAATATTTGCAAGCTGGCCCAAAAATTATGATTGTACATGATAATCGAAAAATGTAATAATAATTGTTATTATTAAATAATGTAGCTTATATTAATGTTTATTCAAATACTCTATTTGCAAATTTAAACAAATTCATTATATATGAATATCACATTCACTTCTACTAAGGCTCGCACAAACATCAGCTAACCTCGTTTTCTCTATTTTCCAATACTAAATCAAAGTTTCGATATACGTATGCATATACATATGTATATTATTTATAAGCAAGATTAAATAAATCTATACGCTGATTGCTTTGAGGCACATGACGAACGAGCTGTGCGTACAATTTGATTGCCAAGTACGGCAATTAAAAATTTATCAACGATCGGAACACGCTGTTGAGCTGCCTAATGCACTTCCTGCAGCTGCGGCTATAAAATCAATAAATGCGAATGATGTGAGTTATATGTGGCTCAGATTTGTGGCCAACCAATTTGTGTGCTCACCCTCCGTGTGTACCCTTTCCCGCAGCGAAGGTCAGGCCACCAGCTGGCGGTGGGTCTGCGGGTCTGTGGCTTCGCGGTCGACGGTCGGCAGGTCGGTGCTAATAAAAAATTAGGCATTGGGCTTTGGGCAAAGTCAATGCTGCGCCTGGGTCATAATGTTTGTAGCTGTTTTTTTTTTATTTTTATTTTTTCTCTTCTATTTTTTGTATTTTTGCTTAATTTGCATTTTGGGTTCCTCGTTCCGTGTGTTGCGTGACCAGCCACGTGAACTGGCCTATGCCGCGACCCTGGGTCCCGAGCTAACGTTGGCTTGCGGGTCACGTTTACAGCTTTTTTCAGCACATTTCAAGAGAGGACTAAAAAACAAACAGAAAGAAAAACTAAGCAACAAAGCTTACCTCGTGTCATCATTGATCAAGAGTTCACAAGATGTTGCAAAATTTATATGTTTTAAGTATAACTTCAATTGAATGATTGACTCAAAGGCACACATCAGCGACAGATATTCTATATCTAATCAGCATGATCATTCTATTGACTTGCTCAGCTGTTCATGAACTGCCAGTTCTATTGAACGATTCAAATGAGTCGTTAATGAAATACAGAGCTGATCCAGTGTATAAAATGAACAATATAAAGAGTTCATTGAACTGGTTCATTCAAGTAATCTAAAACTGACAACTTTTGTATAATGGCAATGCTAAAAAGCTGCTCTACTCTAAGCAAAAATGACTATTGTGAACTAGAGAAGTGAACTTGTTTATCACATACTGCATAAAAGTTCTGAATTATGAAAAACAAAAAATAGAATTGAGCTACAAGTCATAATTCCTGTATGCATAGTACATAGACTACCCAAAAGATCTGAACTAGCTCATAAATTGAGGTAGTTCACATACCCAATTGACTTTGTTTATCAAATATAACTTTGGCATTCGAATCGATGTAGAATTGGCAAATTATCTGCTATCTGCGAATCATTCATGAACTTGACAAAGTCAATTAAGTAAGTTAAATCGTTAAATCGACTATTCTAGACAAATGTCTACAAGGACTTACACTGCGATTATCGTCCTGCTCCACTGACATGCCTCTTCAGCATGCCAATTGCTGAATCCTTGTCCATTCAACTGGTATCATTTGTGTGTAAGTAAGTAAATCAAATGTTTGTTGTTTCCTTGACACGTCCGTTTGTTTTTCGTTTTTTTTTTCTCTGATTCTTTTTTTTTTTTTTTGTGGTTTCATGTTAGTTGTTGGTGTCATGAACTTTGACCCCATTGCCGTAACGGCCTTTGTGAGAGCCCAGTGGTTCTGGTTGTGGTTGTGTTTACAGTTTCCCATTGTTTCGCATTGAATGGACACAATAACAATGGCTGCCGACATTTTACAGCTATTCGACACAGCAACTAAATACCCTGGAATTATCGAATCGCGATCTTGAAATGTTATTTGTGAATTTGACTTTGAATTAGACAATTTTATCACTGATTGGATCACAAAAGTTGTTATAACTAAAACCAAATGGCCTTTGTGTGTGCATATGTGTGTGTGTGTGTCTCTCTCTCTCTCTCTCTCTCCCTCCCACTCTTAGACTAAGCTTGTGCATTTCGTTGAGTTTTGGCTTAAAGCGTTTGTTTCCGTCTATATTATAGTATCCAAAGCAACAAATATTTGACTGGACTTGCCTTAAAGTAGCAGCGACAGCTAAAAGCTGCTGTGAAACATTCAAATTGTGATTATTAGTCAAATTTAAGCAAATTAGTGTACAAATCGATTAAATAATTAAGACAACAACAACAAGAACAACAACAACAACAACAACAAATCAATCAACGAAAACTGCAGCCAAAACAAACCAAACCAAACCCAAAGAACCAGCTAACTATCAAGCATTACAATAATGGAATCCATTTAGTGTTAAACTAAACGTAAGAAAGCGCTAGAGGTAAAGCACAAGATGTCCATGGTATGCAGTCTGAATGGCGATGGCGGCCAGCCGACGAGTAACAACAGCAATACGAACACGAACTCAAACACGAACACAAACACGAACACGAACACGAATACGAATGCGAATGCGAATGCAGCAAACACAAATTCAAATACAAACGCAATGACGTACGATTATGGGCAGCAGCAGAGCTCGGCCGATGTGCCCAATGCCAGCACGCCGCTGCTGCTGGGCCACGAATCGGGCGGCGCGGCCAGCGGCGATGTGGGCAATAGCGGCACAGCCATAACGGTACTGCAGCCGCCTGCGATGATTGGCACAGCGGGCTATGCGATGACGACGACTGCGGAATCAGCTGCGCTGGCGGCAGCGGCAGCAGCGGCGTCAGCATCGGCTGCGCTGCCAGCGACAACGGGCGAAACGATGCTGAGCCTGAATAGCGGTACTTTGAGTGTATCAGGCGGCATGGCGCTGCCCGGCACATTGAATTTCGTGATGGGCGCCGTAAGCGCGCAGACAAGCAACAACGACAACAACAACAATATGGATAATGCGAGCGATGACTCGAACCCGGTGACCATTTACAGGTAATGCATGCAAAGGGCAGCCGCTTGAGCCGAAATGCCTCTCGATAGCAGCACTAGGGGTGTTCACTATTAAGCCGAACGAAATTATAAACCAATCTAGATTTATCAATTTGAATAGCCCACTCTAATGATTAATTGTGATTTAATCAGGAATTTTCATAGTCAAATTTTAATTGAATATCATTTCCGTTTTGCAGGTGCCGGGCTCCGATAGCGTCGCTCGACTGCATGGAGGAGTTCAGTGGTACGGGCGGTCATCTTGATTTCGGTATCGAATTTCTCACTATTATATAACCTTATAATTTTTTGTTCTTTTAGTTGAATACTCTTCGATTGCTTGGCTTGTTGTATTTTTATCCATAATTACAATATATAAACACAAATACATGCATACATCACAGACGTACGTCCAGCACACTAACTCTTGACTATAGTGGTGCACGAGTATTGAGCACTGAGACCGTTCTCTCTCTCTCTCTCTCTTTCTCTTCACGATCACGATCAAGTTTTGATTCTGAAACCGGCACGAAACCCGCTTAGTGGAATATCTATATACATATATATACCTGTATATATGTATACCTTATATATATATATATATATATGTATAAATATTTGCATGCACCGTTCGAATTTGGATTTGAATTACCAATCGATTCTGCAGTTCATATATATAGATGTTATATGAAAGTATTTCCGATTATTTTGTTTGCAAGGAGTTCTTGTGCTCTAAAAGTTGTTGGGTTCCCGAGTTTAAGTTCTTCTATTTGCTGATTGTTGCACGTGTTTTGTTTTGGTTCTATTGTTTTGTGTCTTTGCTTTTCTTTGGTAATGGAATCCGCTAACAATGAAATAATTTCCCGCCGCATGCTTACCGCACCCAATCCGTACCCGAACCCCGACAAACTGATCGCTCTCTGGACCGACTGATTGCCATCATAGGCCGTTCAATAAGCCTCGGCTCGAATCCGGCGCTGCCGCTGCGGCACGGCTCGACGCCGACGCCGGGCTTGCGGTACAAGAATCTGGGCAAGAGCGGCCTGCGCATCTCGAACGTCGGCCTGGGCACTTGGCCGGTCTTCTCGCCGGGCGTCAGCGATGAGCAGGCCGAGTCCATACTGAAGCTGGCCATCGACAGCGGCATCAATCTCTTTGACATCTCGGAGGCGCACTCCGAAACGGAGATCGGAAAGATATTGCAGCGTACCGGCTGGAAGCGCACCACCTATGTGATCACTACCAAAGTGTACTGGAGCACCAAGTGAGTGCCCACTGCTACGCACAATGAGCAATGATCAATGATTATCTCTATGCTTAATGTCCTCCACAGATCCGAGGAGCGAGGCCTCTCACGCAAACACATCATCGAGTGCGTGAGAGCCAGCTTGCAGCGCCTGCAGCTGAACTACATCGATATTGTCATCATTCACAAGGCCGATCCCATGTGTCCAATGGAAGGTGGGTAGTCTTAGCTTACCTAGTGCTGACATAGAAGCTATGTCCATAACTGTATATGTCTAACTTGCTTAAAACCCATTTGCTAACTGAAGCTAAGGAAACTTTAGGGCATTTAAGTTGGTAATCTAAATTTTTGTTTTGAGACCAAAATCGGATTTTAATTCAGAGTTTGATTTGAATACCAACCCAGTATTTCAATATATATTTCAAAATATATTTTTAGTTTTTAAAAAATTTCTCTATTTTTTGACAACAGATAGAAATTTTGAATAGAAAACATAGTCAGAGCTGGCTTAAATTTAGTAGTATCTCTATATAAATGAAACTGAAGTGCATTTTATATATACATATAGGGAGTATATAACAGCGGAAGGTACTAGAAACTGTCTGTCTCACATGCTGATATCAAATTTTGCTCAAACAAGCAGTCAATATAGGCATATTTATACCTATTTATAATATATATACTCTCATAATATACCTATAATTTTAATATATTAATATTTAATTAAATCATAAATAACTCTATAAAAAGTCTATATATTAACATCAAGAACTGCAAGTTATATTCCTTCAATAACTAAACATTTCTTATATAAATGTATACACGTTTCTATATTATATCATTTATATATATACATCTCTTTCTATCACTGACAATTTCTATATGACAATCTACTGACACCGATACTTAACTATATTTATGACTTGGTGTATAGTTCTGCCCCTCTATTAGTTGCTAGCCTCTATTTATGCCTTTTTATCTGTAAACATCCACATTTATTATTTATCTCTATATAATGCTATGTGCTTACATTATTCTATATATTAACATATGCATAGAGATAGCTATGCCTATTTTTATACCTGCATCGTTTTACTGTGCATCTTTTTGAAATATGTCGTATCATTATTTTAGCTTAATTTGTTATATTTGTGCCAACGTATAGCAAAAACAATTTGTACTATTTATGCTTATTTTTATACCTAAATCATACCAATTGTATGCCTATCTCTATACCTTTATTATACTCGTTTCATTATATTTCTTTTTATGCCATTTATATTAGCTATGCCCATTTTATACCTATTTTATGCCTAATTATATTTCTATTCTTTTTTTTTATGCCTATTTAATTAAATTTCCCTTCATGCTATTTATATAATTTATGCCTATTTTTATACACATTATATAGCAATTTTATGCATATCTCTATACCTATTTATACCTACTTAATTAAATTTCTCTTCATGCTATTTATACCATTTATGCCTATTTTTTTTACCTATTTTACACGATTTTTATGCCTATCTCCATAGGCTTTTTAGGCCTATTTAATTAAATTTCCTTCATGCTATATATTTAATTTATGCCTATTTTATACATATTTTATACCAATTTTGTGCATATCTCTATACCTATTTTATACCCATTTAATTACATTGCTCTTCATGCATACAACTTATTTTGATTTATACCTAAATGTATGCCCAATTTTATACCTATTGCAAGTGCATAGTATTATTATGTATAGTATGTATAAAAATGTATAAATCACTGTTCATCTCTATCTTGTCTATATATTTATGCCTTTCCCATGTGAAGCCTTTACCAATGCCAAGCTACATTTATGCCTATCTGTATCGCTGACCCTTACTTGCAGAAGTGGTGCGCGCCATGAGCTATGTCATCCAGCAGGGCTGGGCCATGTATTGGGGCACGGCCAGGTGGTCGCAGGTGGAGATAATGGAGGCCTATACCAACTGCCGGCAGTTTAACTGCATCACACCGATTGTCGAGCAATCGGAATACCACATGTTCTGTCGCGAGAAGTGCGAGCTGTATCTGCCCGAGATGTATAACAAAATCGGCGTAGGCCTGATGGCCTGGGGCCCCTTGTCGATGGCACTGAGTGACACACAGAACGGGGACAAGCTCTTCCTGCCCAAGGGCTCGTTCAAGACGAAGAGCTTCTCGTGGACGGAGGACGAGATCAATCGCAATGTGAGTAGAGTGGAATCGCCGCCAGCTGTGGCAGCCAACTAAATGTTGCCTCTCGTCCAGGCCGCATTGTCGCCGCAGGGCAGCTGGGGCAAGGATCGCATCGAGGAGGGGCGCCGACACTGCGACCGGCTGCGCGACTTGGCCGCGCTGGCCGAGAAGCTCGGCTGCAGTCCCACCCAGCTGTCGATCGCCTGGTCGCTGAAGCACGAGCCCGTTCAGTGCCTTCTGCTGGGCGCCACCTCGGCGGAGCAGTTGCATCAGAGCTTGCAATCGCTGCAGGTGAGTCGACACTCAGCTAGATCCAACGAACGTATGCATATTAATGGTGGTAATTCGATGGTGGCATTCAATACAGCTGTTGCCGCGTCTCTCGTCGAGCGTGATGCTGGAATTGGAGCGGATACTGGAGAATAAGCCGGTGCGACCGCCAATGATATCGACACTGGCGCTTCGGTGACAATCAGCCTGCCCGCAGGGTCCGCTCAGCCTGAGCGGCGGCGGGACCTGCGGCGCCGATTCGCCCAAGCACGAGGAGGAGGCGTTCATTGAGGAGGCAGATGCCAAGGAGGCTGCCAAGCAGGGTTTCTGTGTTATTCAGTGACGAAAGGAGTCCTTAGATAATGATAATAAATTTTTGAAAGTGATTAGCAGTAAAACTAGCCTAAGTAGCAATACTATGACAACAACAATAAGCAAGCACGAGGTGCAGCAGCAGCAACAGCAGCAACAACAGCAGCAACAACAGCAGCAGCAACAGCAGCAGCAGCAGCAACAGCAACCGCACCAAATGCAACATTATCAGCAGCTAGCCATTGCAGCCGCAGCTGAACCATCGAGTGGATCAAGTGGCGCCCCGGAGCATCCCGATGCGCTCAACAACAATGACATCCCGACTGCAGCCGGCGACCATCTGGAGGCGAGCTCGACCAAGGGCCAGAAGCGACGCTCCCTGCTCAACTTCAAGTCCTTCGACTTTCACATCAAGACGCTCTACAGCGGCCTGCGCACCCCGGGCGCTGCGGGGGGCAGCGGCGCAGCTGGCCACCGGACGGAGGCGCAGTCGCGCTCAGCCTCGTTGGGCGGCGGCGGCGCCAGCCTGGCCGGAGTGGGGCCGGCCAACAGGCGCATTCCGCCGCATCTGCGCATCGAGGCCGTCGACGGCGATCCGCTGGAGGAGCAGGGCCAGCCGGAGTCCGCGAAGCTGCTGCTCGACTATTCGCAGTCACCGTTCACGCCGCGGCACAACTCCAGCAGCGTGCTGCTGCCCTCAATGGACCCCTATGCCGGCTGCTCCTCGCTGTCGCCATACTATCTGTCGCCCTACATGATAGCCGGCAGTGGGGCTCGTGGTGCTGGTGCTGGTGCGGGTGGTGCGGCAGCTGGCCGAACGTCCGCCGAGGATCTCAATGCGGGCATCCGTCGCTCCTCCACCTCGGACATTGTGTCCTGTCGCCGGCGCGGCTCGACCAGCAGCAACAGCAGTCGTCGGCCCAGCACCTCCGATCTGCTGCGGCGGGCGCGTGAGCGTCGCGGCAGCGAGGCGCGCATGGGGCGCAGCGTGTCGCACAGCGGCATGCGCGGCGGTCTAGGGGGCGGAGCCGGCGGGCCGGGCGGCATGGGTGGCAGGCGTACGAGCATGGCATTCTAGATACAACAACAACAACAACAACAACAACAACAACAACGACAACCACTTCGCTGCAAATCGAACAAATCAGCTGACAAATGGCGCTTATGAATTTTTACTAACTAACACACACACACACACACACACGTAGATATACCCAATAAATAACAACAACAACATCATTATGTAAGCAGTTTTTTTCCAGAACCGCAAACACTTATATATATAACACTCTAAACGAAACAAAAACAACAAAAAATTTACAAAAATACAAAAAAAAAAACAAAATTTAACAAAAATCATTTTCATCAAACTCCAAAAAAAAAATAAACAACAAATTTTACACACAGTTCCTTCCACATCACGGAGAACTTGTTTATATACATCTATATATATATATATATACATACATATATGAACTATATAACTAAATGCTTCTCTTGCTCGTGCCCCAATTTTTGATGACAATATTAGATCCTAACTGTAAACCAAGGAACACTGCTCTTAACGTTTGGTTCATTTTGTCTAGGATGCGCTTTACAATTGCTTTACAACACACACACACACATGTGCACGAAATACACACACACAGACACATTTTTAAGAACATAAAACTTATGTGAATGCTCATATCAAATTAAAAAAAAAAAAAAAAAAAAAAAAAAATAGAAAAAAATACTGAAGCTTTTTTATTAGCTAATAAATTAACAAAAAACAATTGTTGGCAAGCAACAAACTGCATCAGATTAATAAAATATATATATATATAAAAAAAAAATAAAATAAAAACTAAAATATATATAAATTTTAGCTAATAATGAAAACAATTTAAATCAAATCTTATAGACATACTCATTACGTAGTTAAACAAATCAATTTAAATTTAAAAAGCAAACAACAAAAAATTAAAAGAAAAAATTAAATCAAGAAGTTTTTTTCCAAAAAAAAAAAAAAAAAAAAAAAAAAAAACAATGAACAAAAGATTTAAACAAATGCCTTTTATTAAAAAGAAGAACAACAACAAAAGTTTATATTTTAAATAAAAACGAAATAATATTAAAAGCCAATAATTAAATTGTTATCAAATTTGCCTCACACACACACAGACACACACACACACACAGAGACACAATTTTGCAGCCTTAAGATAAACTTATGCATTGATTAGATATATAATTAGCAATATATGCGTATATACAGCGTATACATAATGCATATTTACAACTACAGACACACACACACACACACAAATATATGTATATACATATACATAGTTTATCATTCAAGTACATAAAGTCTTTTCACATACGGACTGTGATTTCACGTAAAGTAAAATATACATGCATACATATGTATATATATATGTATGTGTACATATAATAATAAATAAAAAAATATATACATATATATATATAAATAAATATAAAATCATAAACTAAACCAATGCAAATAGTTTAAAACATTTTAGTAATAATCGAAAATGATTTAGCGAATACATATATATCCATATATATGTATATATATACAGACATATACATTTTGCTTAACTGAATACGAGTTAAGAATTATTGAAATATTTAAAGATTAACAACATTTATATTATGTAGAGAACACAATGAGAGAAGGTGGCTAAAACCGTTCGACACTTTGTATTCACAATTAAAATGCGTTTGCGTTTGCCTTAACAACTTAACAGATAACAAGTATATACATACATACATATATACATATATATAGAGATATATCTGACATACATGAACAATTAATGCAAACGAAATCAGAATTGTTATAGCATCTATATATATATGTACATATATATATATATAGCCTATGTATATACATATGTATGTAGTTAAGTCAGGCCGGTTTCCTCAATCCTCAGTTGAATTACGGTTGAGCTGCCTGATTCGCTATCCTTAATGCTAACTGGTGCTTGAGAGATCGTGCCTAATCAACAGAACAAAAACAAAAACAAAAAAACAAAAACCAAAACAAAAACCAAAAACCAAAAACCAAAAATAGAAATTCATGATGAGGAATATATACATATATGCAATACCTTATGTAATCGATGGATAGTAACAATTAGTTAAACAGATCAGATAATGTACTTTTTTAATTACCTTAAGTAACATAACATTTGCATTTTTTGTAGTTAATCCGTCCTCAGTAACGGCCAACAGACAACAAAAGTGCGACAAGCGAGTGCTCGCCTAGCAAATACCCTGTACCCAATGCACAGTTTCTCACCTTCTTCCGTCTCTTTCATTTTTGTGCTCAACTGAACGACAGCCGCTTCGCCAGACAAGCAAAGAGTAACAAGAAAAGTTAATAACAACACACACACACACACACACACACACACAGAGAGGGAGACACACACACACACAAGATATATTCATAGACCGTAGTGCATCCAAAATATTAATAATACGTATTTAATTGCAAAAAGGCAAATAACTTAATATTTTATTACATTATGAAAATATATTACAAATTGAATTTAAAAATGATAAAAGAAGAAAAACAAAACAAAAATCCCTTCTAGAATTTGCAATATGAAAGGCAACTAGACTGGCAGATGGCAAATAGGTAGCTTTATGGACTCATAATAGATATAAACTGATATATATATATAAATATATAATTTATAGTTAAGCGAAACTGATCAATAGCCTGACACGTCTATACACCCGCTAACAGCAATAACAGGGTATGCATAGAGGACATTCAGCGTCAATTTAAACCACATAGAGAATACTATAAACCGCACTCACGCATGCCGCCGCAGCTGCTGTAGGATACCCTGTGCCCCCCTCACACACCCCCCGCAATCATACTGCCCAGGCAATGTGAAGATATATGTATATCGATTTATATATATCGATTTATATGTATATAGATACATATATATGCTGCCTTTTCATAGATATACTTCAGAACTCTTTCAGATAATTTGGGTGCAGGGTTTAAGATTTTGTGAGAAAAAAAAATAAAAACGTTTATATGCGATACATATGATCGATAGTTGACCATCGATGATTGATGATCGATAGTCAATTATCGATAATCGATGATCGATTCGATCATTGATGATGCCAATGGAAAGCAATAACAAGCGATAGAAAGCATCGGTGAAAAGTTCAACTAGTAAATTAATAAAGCAATACAACAAAATGATTTAAATTTATAAATACTATAAACAAGATAAGAAAAGCAAAACAAAACAAAAAAACAACAACAACAAAACACTTTGATTAACAAATGAACACAAAAGTTAGCGCAGGTGCATTATATAATATAACTGTTATTTTTTTTTTTTTTGTCTGTTAAAGCGTAGCTAGTAATACTATAAATAACAAATTATGAATAAATCTAAAGAAAAATCGAACAGTTCATCAAATGACAACTGTAGCAAAAAAAAAATAAAATAAAAATAAGAATAAAAATAAAATAAAATAAAATAAATAACAAAATGTAACAGAAAAGTATTAACAAATTGCGGCATACGACAACAACAACAACAGCAACAACAATATATATAAATAATACCTAATAATTAATAATTAATAATTTCTAGCAATATGTAAGAAGAAGAGCGCTAGTGAATAATCTAGACAACCAATTTTACTTTACACATGAAGAGTGTTTAAACATATTCAAGCATAACAATAACAAATGAAAATCTAGGTATATATATGTACATACATATATGTACATATATAATAAAGCCAACAACAATTAAAAAAAAAAAAGAAAACAAATGCATTAATATCCAAACAAAATTATTTTCTTATCGAAACTAGCAGTAAAAAAAAAAAAATAAAATAAATATATATAAAATATAAAAACAAAAAACGAACAAATAAAATTGTAGAAAAGAACAACAACAAATTGAATATGCAAAGAAATTTGAAAAAAGGAAGCAAAGATCATCTCCAAGAAAGGCAAAGAAAATAAACAAATCAAAACCAAAAGCAAAAGAAATGCAACTTTATACTAAGCAAATGCACTTACACTTGTACAAGTATGTATATGTATATACATATATATACTGAGTGGCTTGACCAACAGCTTTAAGCTAAGCCAGATCCACTTAAGTAACGAACAAACAAAGGTCAAGCTTAAGAACATTTTAAGCAAGCAACAAATTATCTGAATCATTTAAAGGAATAAACTCGCCAACACACATACATCTACACACACACACACACACACACATATATATATATACATATGTATGTATATACATTTATAATTGCTTTATGCGAATGGCGATGCATACATAAAAGCAACAAATGGAATACACATAGAGCAAAAATCCTTTACACTTCACTTTAAAAACTACATTTAATATTAATAATTCGAAAAGAAAAACAAAACTAAAAAAAAAAAAAAAAAAAAAAAAAAAAAACATGGTTATAGCATCAACGGCAATAACACAGCTCAAATTCTGAGAAATTATATAAAAATACAAACTCCTTTCTTTCAATCAAAATGCGCAATGATTTCTCTTCAATCTAGAGCGGAACATAGATCTATAGATCTATAGAATATCTAGGCATATGTATGTATATCTGTATGGGGTTTATTCAAGGTGGAGTCTCTGCAGGCTGCAGATCGTACCATATCTACAAAGGCCTCACTCTATATAATCTTTAGTAGAGCTGATCTATAGTATAGCTAAGCTAAAATGCTAACTCAGTCAATCTGTAGAGCTGATAATGGTAAGCCTTTATCAAGTGAGCAATGGAAGAGATGGTATGAATTGCAAGAGATTGCAGCTAGAAATCTGCATTTGGAAAATCTAATAAAAACTTATCTCTGCATGGAAGACTCGGCTGATAAATGGAAAGAGATAACTTGATATCAAACAGACGGCACAGCTAAGCACTCTAATTATAGACGATATAGATATACCAAGATATCGCATGCACAACTTGCATTTGGCTTTCGAGTGTCTGGACTGGTTTATGGTATCAGTCAAGTTGACTGCTTGACTAAACAAACATTAGGATTACCTGATTAAGAATTTTTGGCTAAGATTCTGCATGCAATTCATTTCTATATTTTTGTTTTATACTAGCCCACTATCTCCCTCTCTCTCTCTCTCTCCCTTCTCTGTCTCGCTTATTCTTTTACTGCTGCTGGCTCTCCTGCTCTGGTTGTCCGCATCTCTCTCTATCTCCCAAGCTGTGTCTCTCTCTGTTTTTGCGTTTCACGTTTTTTATTTGCCCCCCTCTCATTGTGTGTCTCTCATTTTCCTATTCTCTCCCACTGTCTAACAACCTATTTATGTATTTCGCAATTGTTTCACTTTCCTTGACTTTCCATCTCTCTCACTCGCACTCCCTCTCTCTCTCTCTCTCTCTCTCTCTTTGTATATAAATCATCCTCTGTGCATCATTCACTATTCTCTATTCTCTGTTTCTCACCTTTGTTACTCTCTATCTCTCTAAGTCCCACTCAATTTTTTCGTTTCTATATTTATTTCTCTCTCTATCTCTCTTATTCTCACTCTCTCTCTGTTCCCTACTCATTCTCCTTCTGTCTCACGTTCTCCTATTCTACACACTTCTCTCTGTCTATCATTAATCTGCTTTGTTATTTTTCCTACATCTTTCTCTTTTCCTTTGTCTACCATTTTTTCTTTCCACATACTTCGAAAACTCTCTCTGTTCTCGCTCCCCCTCTCGCAATTATTTTCTCTTTCTATATGTTTTGAAGGCTTTCTCTCTCTCTCTCTCTCTCGCTCTCTCTCTC